CAATATAATTAAAACATATTTAAAATCATTCCGACAAGGATCTCTAAAAAATATAATACGTATTATTCAGCTATGACGCACCAACCTGGTACACATTTTATTATAGTTTGGAATTTTATTTCGGCCAAGTCCCAAACTAGTTTGGGCTATTTGGGTTTGGCCACGTTCCGAAACCATCGGGTTTGGATAACATCTCTAATTACGAATAGTAGTCCTATTTTATAAGTTTAAGTTACTTATCGAAAAAACGATAAATTCGAATATTTAAGTTTCATAAAAAATGTAATAGCAAAAATACAACTTTGGTTTAAGTAGCTACAACTAAACAAAAATAAATACGTATTAATCAAAAAACAAATTTATTTTCTTTTAATAAGATTTATTTTAATAAAAATTTTTATTACGTATAAAAAAATTAAAAAATTTAATACAGTTCCAAAATACGATAAAACATAAAAATTTAAATCAAATCAATTTTAATTATATTTCAAATTTAAAATTTATACAGTACCGTAAATCTATGGATACTTGGCTTCAACAAATATAACAATTTGTTTACTAGTCCTGACTGCCACATAGAGGCGTATCCATATAGTCAGGTTACTTTTTTTTTGGGAAGAAATTTAGAAAGAAACCCTTACCAAGTATCAGTATAAAATATCGTGACTCCTATCGTTTCAAAGAGTCGTGCAGAGGTGCTATTGCACTATTATACTAGATACTAGAAAAGCTCAATTTCTTCGGATACTCTTAGAGCTAGAGACTCGAGATATTTTGAATATGGTGGTATATCCTGAGTTGTCACCACCTTCAAGGAATTCCTGCTAGCAGGCCTTAACACTATGAGTAATAAAAAAAAACTCATAGATAATCCAGGAAAAACTCGTTTAAGGTCCTGAGCTTGACCGTCTCTCGGGATATTTTAAATATGGTGGTATATCCTGAGTTGTCACCACCTTCAAGGAATTCCTGCTAAAAAGATAAAGCAGGTCTTAACACTATGAGTAAAAAAAAAACTCATAGATAATCCAGGAAAAACTCGTTTAAGGTCCTGAGCTTGACCAGCAATCAACTAAGTAAAATTAAGATCGTAATTTGAGCCATCTTACTTTTCCTAAGGCCCCACTTCTTATGTTATTGTGATTTCTCACACATCCTATTTTGAAACCACAGGAT